CCAATGTGAGAGAGACACATTGATTGGTTGCCACCCACACGCACCCTAACCAGGGCCAGAAATTGAGCCTGTAACCTAATTACATGCCCTTGGCTGTATTTGAACCCAGGACCCTTCAGTCCACAGGCCGATACTCTATCCACTGAGCCAAACAGGCTATGGCTAGCAGTGCTTTTTTGCTTTGTTTGGGAAATATTGTAACACAGCTGCCCACTCTGGAGCCATACTGGCTAAGTTTAAATCCTACTTATCTCCTTAGATGTGTCTCCTTGGGTGAGTTACTTAACCTTACCTGCCATGTCTCAGTTTCCATATCAGTAAAATGGAGATACTGGAACTTATCTCAGTCTTTTTTATGGGAATTAAATTGCTTAGAAGAGTGCCAGGCACTTAGAGGTATTCAAGTATTTGTTAAATACCTATGTTGGTGATAAAGGACAGACTGGGGTGTTTTTTTGTTTGTTTTCTTTAACAGATTTAAATGGTTTCTCATAGCCAACATTCTAGCTTCCCAGAATATCAGACACGGGGCATTTTGTTTTATTTTCTGAAGAGTTAGCAAATGCTATCCTGGGGCAGAAGGAAAATGCTTTTCCCTCGTAATAACCCTGGTCAAACTTGTCTGCTCAGCTCCAGCAAGGGTCACAGATGACATTTTTACTGTCGTCACTTTAAAAATAGTTTAGGTTACTTTTTCCTTAGTGGAAGTTAGTTAATTGAAGCCTAAGACTGGCATGAACACTCTGGAGAGGTGGCTTTGACTCTTGCCATTTGTTCTCTTTGGCATTGACTTCTGCCTGTCAGGACTCTGCTGGAGTGGGGGATCTTATCCTCAGACAGACATGAGCCTTGAGCCCCAAGAAGTCAGCATGTGTGCATAGCCACTAATTGGGTGTTTTCTCAATCAGGTTGCAGATGATGAAATTCCTATTTCATTGCAAAGTGTGACCATTACAAAGGTTCTGAAATATTAGCTACTGCCAGTGTTTTGACCTTCGGTGTATCTCAGACTGAATTCATTTTTTAAAATACGTCTTCAAATCTTTTGATTCCTTACTATGATGAGTTTTAAGCCTTTCTTCCAGTCTGTTTTTCTTATTCAGCCCTGCTGAAGTTTCTTTAATTTCTCCATCATCTGTTCTACAGCCTCTGAACTGGCTGCTATTTGTAGCCTTCAGTGGGATTTAGTGAGTTTGACATTGTGTATGTAAAAGTCGTGGGTCAGTATAAAGGCAAGAGTAACATCTCTTAAGACAGGCAGTCAACACATGAACTTCGGCACTGGTCTAAATTTCCTTCCTCTACCAGTGGGAAAGGTGCTGCTCTTTAAGCCACCATAAAAGCCAAGTTAGTTTTGAACATTTTGGAAAAAGAGGCACATGCTAGGAAATCCTGAGTGATGATGAGTCGGCCTAACTGACCCCAGATTTGCTCCATTATCTACCACTGGCCAAATCTGCTCCTAATTTCTGTGGCACAGCCCTATTAGACGTATTTATCACAGGACTTGGCCATCCAGATGCATATGCTCCTTCAGGGAGATTCCTAGGAAGGGCTGGCACCATGGCTTTGCCTGCACTTCTGCCCCTGTAGGGGTTATGGATGAGGGGTAAGATCTCAGTCCTGTCTATTTCAGGCAATAGGGACAGGAACAGCCACTGATGTAGTAACGTTATATTCAGAGGCCTAGTAGGGCTCCATAAACTTGAATTTTTCACAGTTCTCAGTGAAATGCCTTGTATACCACAAGATGTCCTTTCTCCTGAATCATCTGAGTTCACTAAATATAATAATCCAAACCTGTTCTCTTACATCTAAACATTGGGAGAGAATTTCCTTTGGAAAGTCAAGTTGATAGTTTCATTTCATTCTGGTCTTTGTATTTGATTATGACCTACAAAGGGATTGCTATTCTAACAGAGACTTTGAATTTCCTGCATGGATTTCCCTCTAGTTAGCAGGCAGAGGAAATATCTGACTTTTCCCCCCCACTTTCCTAGGTGCCTGGGTACTGTCTCATTGCCTTGTCATTTGTTGCGTTCTATCCCCTTATTTCTGCCGAGTGTAATAATGAGCAACAAAGCTGAAAATGGGAGGGCTATGTGCCCTTACAAATTGCCTATGCTGTGAATGTCAAAAGGCCAGAAAGCCAGTTTTGTAGTGAAATAGACTAATATTCTAAGAAATGCCTTCATTGAGAAAGAGAACAAGGGGGAACAGTGGAACATAAAGAGGACAGTGTGTTTCTAAATTTAGATCCCTGAATTGTACATTTATAGTTTTGTGGGAAGACAAAATGAGGAGCAGCTATCTCAAAGGTTTTATCATTTCAATTATCCAAGGTCTCTATTCTAGAAAGTTTCTACTTGGTGGTAAAATACAGTCTTGAACTTAATATATCTTAGATTGGCTCCTACTCTAATCTGCCTTTAGCGGTAGGAATCAACTTGATGAAAATGTAATGGTATTGATTTAGTGGGAGGCACTCTGAATTTGGAGATGGAAGCATGAGTTTAAATCTTAACTTTGCTTCTTTCTAACATATAACTTTGAATAAGATTGAACTCCAGGCTCCTTCCTCTGTTTCTAAATCAGTCTCAGGGATTGAATGAAACCTTGTGTGTGAGGATTGAATGAAACAGTGTATGTAACATGTCAAATACGCTGCTTGCTTAGAGTTTTTTACTTTGTGAGGGGAAGTATATTCACCCAGTAATATCGGATGTAATTGTTGCATATTCTTTGCTTTTAAGCAAAAACTTGTGTAGATGGCCATAAATATTTCCTAAGTTAATATAAAAACAAAACAAACCAACTAAAACTACAATGCCTGTAGTATAGAATAGTGATAATTATCATACATTTTGCTGGTAATATCAAAATCATGTGTAAGCTCCTGAAGTGGATCAGTTGCAATTTTGGTAACTTCGCAATTTTACCCGTCATTCTAAAACTGGAGTGTTATGCAATTGAGGCTATTTCTGTACAGAGTAAAGAATAATTTTTTTTTTATAAAACATTGCACTTTGGTAAAAACAGATTATGAGAGCACAGTGCGTAGAGAGTGCCATCACAATGATGCTGAGAATCAAAAGCATGGTGGGAAAGCTTGGTTGCCATGTACCTCTAGAGTCTAGGCACACAGAAACTAGGCTCAGTTGTCATGAGTTCAAAAGAAAAGTTTGCTCATGTGGAAACTTGTTATTTCAATGTGTGGCACCTCTAAATAACCTAATGAGGGCATAGTATATAAAAAAGGTAAAATGGACGTCCCCCCCGTCCCCGTCCCCCCCCAAATTTCCTAGATCTTCTCTATCCTATAGTTGTATGTTTCTATTAAGCTAGATTTCATAGTTTCTGCTTATTACTCAACCCCCTATATCCATTTGGGGCTCGTTTTGTGTACAGAAAGGTATGTGACAACAGATGCTCTCTTGACCCAGGCTCTGTGGCTCTCACCTCACTAGATGCTATCTTTTATTTATCCATTTTTGGCCTTCAGTGTAGCTAATAAGCTGGCTGAATCGCTTTAGGATAAACTTCATGGGTTGAACATAACCTATGAGTCCATTGCTGGTAAAATCTGTTTTTTGGGGGGCTGAGAGTGTGAAATGTGACAGATGGGAAATGCAGTCTGGTGGGAAAGGCAAGGTGCCCATAGGCCTGATTGTCCTTGTCAGCTGTTCTGTGTATGGGGTGCACCCCACCAATTCATAGCACCGGAATTCAAACTTCCTTTTGTTAACTTGTGGGATATATTGGTGATGTAAGCAAGGATCCTAAATCATCTGCCCAGTATACTGAAGAAAACAAGTCATCCAGTGTTCTGCCACCTTAAACTACAGCATGTGATTTTTGCTTATTGCCCGTCTGTCTTTGTCCACATGCATGTTTATGTTGCAATCATTTTATATGCATATGTATGTATTTTTCTATACCTTTCCCCTCCCCTCCCATACCTTTTATTTAAGGGACTTGAGCATCTGCAGGAATTGGTATCTGTGCCTAAAAGAGGTGGTGATCCTGGAACCAGTCACCCTTAGTTACTAAGGGATTACTGTATTCCTTTTTTCCATTTATGTCATCAACATTGCCCATGTATATTTGTAGGACTCATATATTATAGCATATTAGCTACCTAATTTGATATATCACAGTTTTTTCTGTTATTACTCACTAAGGTTGTATCTCGTTTTTTGGTGGCTTGTTTATTTTTATATGCTTCTTGTTATGGGAAGCATCAAAATAAACATCTTTTTGTAATGTTATTTTCTAAAGAGAAATTTCCAGGAGCTAGATGTCAGGGTGTGGACATTATAGTGGCTCTTGCTTTGTAATGTCGTATTTTGTTTTCCTTTCTACACTGTTGCCAGTGTGTTTACTGGCCCTTTTTAAAGCTTTTAAACCTTTTACATGCCTTGCTTTTAGATGGATCTTTTCTTATTGTAAAGAATGGACCAAGCAGCTCTATCTATTAGTAGCTAACTTTTTCTAGTAAAAACTAGCAGGAAACATCTGTTGTGTTGGACTGCTCGCTGCACAAAGCCCTGGCTTGGCTACATATCTGGTATTTGTATATCTTAAATCTGGCTCAGAGCTACCAAATTCATTTTTGGTGAATTGTCTTTATTCCTCACATCAGATGTGAATGCTCAAGTTGAAGTTTTCATTATAGATTTTTTTGCTGGTAGAATATTGTAGAAGTACAAAGGAGCTTGTTGTATATTTTAGTCATTGGTTAAAAAAAAAATGTCCTGGTTTGTTTAGAATGACTATGTTTCTCCATTTGGTCCCTTTGCTCCTTTGAAAAAATAAAAACATCAAAATAAAGTCCCATGTAGACAAAGGCATCTACTTGGACCTTCTGTTAGGACTGTTTACTTAAACCATTGTAAGTTTCCATGGTTCATGTGATCTTAAGTTATCTTGTGAGTTTATCTTGTGAAATGAACCCTCTGGTCCCTACTCTGGGCTAACCATTTGTGTCTTATTTTTCACAGTGAACATAAAGATTCTGAAAAGAAACACAAAGATAAGGAAAAAAACAAGCACAAAGATGGAAGTTCAGAAAAGCATAAAGACAAACATAAAGACAGAGACAAGGAAAAACGAAAGGAGGAAAAGGTACAGAATTTTCCAGTGGGGGAGGCAGAGATGGGATATTCTTTTCATTTTGTTTACTTTTTAAACAGATAATGAAAGCACCTTCATTGCACAGAAAGATCCCTTGCCTTTGAGTGAAAAGGTCTCAGTCAGGAGACTTTAGAGTAAACCATAATCTTCCACTATAAAAACAAGGTCTATTGCCACTGTACAGCATATCTATCCAGGTCATTATTTTATATGGCAAGTGGATACATTTAAGATGTAAAGTTCTGGAGCTGTCAGTTTTCCTTCATGGGGAAAATTAATACTGTTTTGGGGGAAGGGCTTAATGCTCTCTTGGTCCTCTGTTGAATGGAAGTTCTTCTTGAGTGAAAATTGGTGATGCTGGTGCTTTGCTGACCTGTGGTTCTAGCAGACCCAGTGTAGCTGTCTGGAAGCAGACGGCCTCCGCTGGCTGCAGATGAGTAGTGCTGTGCATAGACTTTTTAAAAATTGTTTTAATTTTAGGTTTTGGAAAAGTAATGTTTTCATTTGGTAAATTCAGACAATGTGAAATAGGGAATATAGTGAAAAATACACCTCCTTTCTATCCCTGGCTCTATCTTTCCCTTTCTGGAGGCAGCCACAATGCCAACTACTTTTTTTTTTTTTTTTGTATTCTTCCAGAGATACTTGTATGCATATTTGCGCGTGCGTGCGTGCGTGCGTGCGTGCGTGCGTGCGTGTGTGTGTGTGTGAGAGAGAGAGAGAGAGAGAGAGAGAGAGAGAGAGAGAGAAGATTTTTGAAATACCCCTCTTGACAAGTCTAGGAAATGGTAATTTGAAGAAGGGGAATGTGAATACACTTTTCCAAACCAGAGAAAGCAGGAAATAGACTATTTTAAATATATGTATATATTTTATTTCAGAGAGGAAGGGAGAGGAAAAGAGAGATAGAAACATCAGTGATGAGAAAGAATCATTGATTGGCTGCCTCCCACATATCCCCTACTGAAGTTGAAGCCTGCAACCCGGGCATGTGCTCTGACCAGAAACCAAACCATGGCCTCCTAGTTCATAGGTCAATGTTCAACCACTGAGCCACACAGGCCAGGCTCTTTTTGTTTTTTGTTTTTTTTATTTCCTCTCTGCACTGTGAAGGGCAAATTCTTGAGAGGTGGAGTATATTCTGAGGGACCTGCCATAATTTAAAGGTAAAAAGTTATTATTTTGCACTGAAACTTTTCTCAGTGTATTGGGCGGTTTATCTTGAAGAATTGTATAAAATGAGTATTAGAAAAATATGAAGACCTTCAGTTCATCTGGTCACCAAGAAGATTCCGTCTGTGATTAGGGTACCCCTAGGGTTGAAGTCAGATGCTCTCTAATAAAGAGAGAGGCTTCTTTATTTGAGCCAAATGTAGCTTACACGGTACTAATAAGTTACATTGTTTGACCTTTCAGGTTAGAGCTTCTGGGGATGCAAAAGTAAAGAAGGAGAAGGAAAATGGCTTCTCAAGGTAAGAGTCCTCTGCTTCCTGTGGGTGCCCCACAGGCCGGCTGCCCATGTGTCTGCTGCCCAAGTGTGTCTGTACCTGACACTCACTGATCTGGCCATCTCCAGGTTTCCCAGGGAGTTGGCAGTGAGAGGACTTGACCCTAAGTCCTCTGAGCATTTCCAGAGTACCCTTTAGTGAGTCTGACCAGGATATTTTCCAGAAGTTATTTTGAGTGGAGAAGGTTGACAGGAAGAATTTTTTTTTTTTTTAAATTGTGATATAATTTACATACCATAAAATTTACCCAAATTTTAAAGTGCATAGTTTATTGGGTTTTAGTATATTCACAAAGTTGTACGTCTTCCCCACTATTGCACAATCTGATTTCTGAACCTTTTCAACACCCCAAAAGAAACGCCATACTTAGTCAGTAGTAATTAATAGTAGTAGTATTCTGAGGCTCATATATAGATGCCTTCTTGACCTACATTCTAGGAATGGGTGTAGATTTGAGTAGAGATACAGAATGTGGCAAAAGTAGGTGTACAGTGTGAGTACTAGAAACACAGTCTGCATAGTCACTTTTCCTGTCCTGTTTTTGTTGTTATGATTCTGTTTTCCTCATCAGCCTCACCTTTTTAAAATAAGTCTAAGAATCCCTTCCAGTTTCAAAAAACTACAAATTTATGGTCATATATTTTCTTATTTGCCTCCATAAAACATCAGAATAGATTTACTAGTTGTTGGAAGTAAACGTTATTGACTTGGACAAAGTGTTCTGAGAGTTTTGCTTCCTTGAAACTTCGAACTTTCAATTTCGTTTGAGAACATTTTTTGAAAACTGGCATGTCCTCCAGGTCCCTTAGACTAGGAGCAGCAGGAGCCCTCTTCAGGCATGTTTTGTAACTGTTCTAGGAATGCTGAATAATAAAATTCACTATAAGCTACCCTGGGCATTCTGATTTCTTAGATAAAGTGACTGAGCACAGGGAGGCTATTTTCTGACAAGAAACTGACTGAGTGGTTTTTTTATTGAACTAATACATACTAAGAAAATAATGGACTTTTTGGACTTGGAGTAGTTTTATTAAACTAATACATACTAAAAAAAATAATGGATTCTTTGAAACTTGGGTTCAGTTTCAGACTTTCTGGGGTAGAAGGTTAGGAACACACCTTTCCAGGCAGTGGGCTCTGCATTCATTCTGCTGGATTGCTTATTTGCTTGCATGTGTATCTGCAGAGAATCACTGAATGGAACCCAGTTTTCTGAGAAATTGTTTTTAACTTCACCTGTGACGATACTAGGATCTAGCATTTACTGGCTGGGAAATGGCAGCGTTTCTTTCTTTCTGGCACAAAGCTTGTGGAGATTTTGGACTCTTGGATCTATGTTAGTCACTTTTGTAGTTTAGGGGAACAGCTTTAAAGGCTGGCATTTGGAGAGTGTGCAGAAATAAGGAAGGAAAGCTAATTGCTTTAAACATTCAGATTCTTTTGCAAGCAAGGCGATCCAGTATGCTTGGGGGGGTGGGGGGGTAAGTGATATGGAGGTGGCATTATCTACTCTTAAAAAACCCTGTGAGTATCCTGACTTTCTTTGCAGCTGAGTCTGTGTAAGCTTATCCCTTGGGTGTCTTAGAGATAAAGCTTTGTGTCCAGAGATCATTGCCTGTTCCGAGTTAGTTAGCTCTGTAAGTGCTTCTGGCTGTAAGCAATGAGGTTCTGATCAGATATGTTAAGTTATGGAACATCCCAAGGCTGTGGTGATGGTTAGTTTCATGGCTTTCTCTCTTTTTCCTTTTGCTTTTTGGTTCAACTTAGTTGTCTAACAGAATTATCTTTTTATATTCAAAATACAAAATCTTAATAAGGATAAGGCAAGGCACTCTTCTGTATGTCAAGTAAATAAACCTAAGGAGGACATTGAACAATGTTTAAACGTGTCTTAGAATGAATAGAATTTGTCCTGGTCTTCTCATTTAGCAGGAGCCCTTCTTTTGCTGTGATGTCATCTTGGTTGTTTTCCCATGTAACTAGGATTATTTCCCTTAGACCTTTAAGGTACAAAGTTTGGGAAATAAAATTTTCTTCTTTTATAAAAACGATATTTTAGGTTTTGGAACACTAGAATAATCGGTTCGAATCATACCTGGAGTCAGATACATAGTCTATCCTGAAGTGAGGAAACAGTTCAATTTAAGTTTGTTCTGTTGTGGTTTGGGTCATGCTGGCAGAGGCAGCTAAGATGTAGGGGAGACAAAGACTTGACTTAGAGTAAGGAGTCCTGATCCAGATCTTGATGTGCCTGTTGATCTGTAAAGTAAAGACAATACTATCTACTTCACAGGGTTGTGAAGTGAGAAAAGTGCTCATGGAAAGCCTTTATAATAGATACAATTGCATGTTGTTCTTATATTAGCTGCTTTTCAGTGTAGTAATTTATCCCTGCTTTACATGTTCCAACACTCATTAACAATTTTTTTTCTCTTTAGTCCACCACGAATTAAAGATGAACCTGAAGATGATGGCTATTTTGCTCCTCCTAAAGAAGATATGAAGCCATTGAAGAGACCTCGAGATGAGGATGAGTGAGTATATCTCAATACTTTTTTTTTTTTTTTTAAACAAAATAGGAGTTGTTTAAAGGATAAATGTAGTGTGTGTCTCTGCAGTGCACAGTTTTACACAGAAAAACTGCATTAATGGATTTTTACTTATTTGGAATTTGTGATTAATGGATTGATTGGGTGTTTGAATTATGAGAAGTAGCGTTTGCTGAGCAAATACATATATATTCTCCATTTGCTGAGGCTTAAATGGAAAATACATATTTCTATTTTTCTTATTAAAAAGGCAGTGCAAATAAAATAGAATCCATGAAGAATATTTAATTTAAATTAGGCTTATCATCATTTATAACAGATAAGTTTTCACTGGTAAACCAATTCCTCCTGGGATCTGTGCCTGCCAATACATTCTAAGTGATGTTTCAGTGTATAGGATTTTGCTCTGAATTAAGACAGGTATTTGAGACTTACAGGTGATTCTTTCTCAGATTCCATCAATGATGTTAAATTCTGTTCATTGTTTTCAATCCTGTATAGCTTATTATGTTTCAGGAATCTACAAAGGATTTAAGGGAGAAAGTAGGTGGGAAGAGAGGAGGGAAATATTTAGTGAACTCATTTGTGTTCATTCAGGATTCATGCAGAATTTCTTTCCTGTCATTTCGAGCCAGTCATTACTTTGTGGCAGTCGTTGCACTTTTGGTTCCCAGATTTCCATCTTCTAGTGGTGTCATTTATGCTATGTCCCTTCATTCCACTTCCCTCCCAGACCTGCATGTAGTGTACGGTTGTTTTGTTCTGTCTAGGGCTATAATGATAGGGCCTTGGTCTGGCCTTCTTCCTCTGTCCCATTCTTGACAAGAATGCTCAGCCTAGAATAATAGCAAACACTCCTACGTTGGAAGCCTCTTAAGAGGTCCTAATCCTGTTGGTGAGAACTACTGAGTTACAGTTGTGTTAATTGCATATTCATGTTCCCCTTTCTAGTGCTGATTTTAAACCTAAGAAAATTAAAACAGAAGATATCAAGAAAGAGAAGAAACGAAAACTAGAGGAAGAAGAGGTTAGTAAAGAGACTTAGGCCCTTTGGGGCTTGAGTTTGGAATAGGGAGTTTTACATAAAACAGCTTTTGAAGGCAAATGGGTCTTAGGGATTTAATTGGTCTGTAGAGGAAAAACTCTTATGTGTACAGTGACTGTGCACTGTTGGTGTGACAATCTCTCCTAGCCTGCCTGGGTGTCTGTCCATAACTATGGTGCCAACTGATCCTTTTAGGGAAACTCTGCCCTCATCATACATACAGAGGGAGGTGTAAACAAGAAATTCTATTTGCTTACAACCAATAATAGTTTTCCCTAAGTAGTTTCTTAGTGCTCTCCTATATATAATATAACAAGGCTTGCTCGTCTCTCACTTTGGTAACCATTCCTATTTAGCAACCTTTAATTGGTGCCACTTAGACGTAGGGTGAAATCCATGTTCTTTTCCACAGCTCCACCCACTCTGGCTGCTGCGTCTTGTGCCTCTGTTCATCTTGTGCCTCCTCCCTAATTTGCTTTGTTCCAGCCACACTGACCTCCTGTATTTCTTTTCCGCACAGTTCTTTTGTGCTTTGGAGCTTTCTGTAGTACCTACTATTCCCTGTGTCAGGAACACCAATGCTCATCCTTCCTCCTTCTCCTGAGTTATAAACCTCCCCTAACAATCTCAGTTCAAGTACTTTTCTAAGGGTTCTACTCATGGTGGTGGTAGTTTAAACATACCATGTTATGGTTCCTTCTTTTGACACTTTCTATTTCTTATACTAAAGAGTTGTTAGCAAGTAATTCAAGTAAAACATGCCAGCAATTCACAGGGGTCTAAATCCTCCACTCCCCTATAAGAAGGGGGTGAGTGTGTTTTCACACTCATTTGTATGTGAGGTTAGCCATTGTCTTGGGCAGAATGGATTCACAAGTCTAAAGACAATAGCTTGAAGCATCACCAGTAAAGATAGAGATAGTGAGGGTCAATGAATCTACAGAGTGTAATCTATCATAGCAATAAGAATAAAAGTGATAATTAAAGTTAAATGTAATAGGTGCTTACTATGTGTCAGACACTGTTCTTATTTTAGATATTTCATTTAATCCTAAGAAAAACCCTTAGAGACAAATATTGCTACTATTATCTCCATTTTTCAGATGCAGAAACTGAAGTATAGAGAAGTCAAATAATTTACCTAAGTTCAGACAACTACTATGTGGGAAAGCTGGGATTTGATCCCATGCAGTATGATTCCAGAGCCAGCACAGTACCTACCGTATTATCCAGCCACTTGGGGGACTTTTTTTTTTCCCCACAAGAAGGGAGAAAAAGTGTCTTAATGAAATCATATTAAGAATATTATAGAGATGATTGGGTCCTGGATTTAGGGAATTGTAGTTTTTCTGACAATCTGTTCTTGGCAGAAGTTGAAGTTTAGAGCCAACTCAAGGAATTGAGAGTGAGGTGTTGAATAGTGATTATGGTAGTCACTCCACATTCATGTAGATCAGGTGGGGAACATTTTTTTCCTATCAAGGGCCATTTGAATATTTATAATATCAATTGATTGCCACACAAAATTATCAAGTTAAAAAATCGGCCTGCTATATTTGGTCAAACATTTAATTAACTCACCCATCATATCTTTTCAGTGCCAGACCAAATGATTTCACGGGCCCTACACAGTGCAGGCCAGACATTCCCCAACCCGGTGTAGATCATCAGACTAGTCAATAGAGAATTGTAAAACTTAGCTCTCCATGCTTTCTATATCGCCTTAATGCTGATGTTATGCACAATAGTACCTTTCTTGGAGTTTGGAAGAGGTTAGTCATAACTGTTAGGCCATTTGGAAAAAAGAACAATTGACTCCCCCTCTCTTCTTTTTTTTAAATTGTTTTTTTAGCAACCCCTCTCGTTACACAGGGAGAAAACAATTTCAGGCTGAAAAACTGAAGTAATACAGTCCTATTGTGGCAAGGACCCCAAATGGCAAGATCGGTTATGAAACCACTTGCTGGCTATGCTTTTTTCATTTCTGGACATTGGTCCGAAATCTCTGATTATCCCATTGTAAGGTTGAAACATACAGTAGCCAGTAGTACACTGATGAGACCTGCCTGTTCAGATGTGCATGCTTTTCAGAAACTATTCAGAGAATGTCTTCACTGAGAAGCATTTCTCTTTCCCGTGGTGTGTTTGAGCTTAAATAAACATTGTGAATTATGTGGTCCTTCCAGTACTTTCTGCTCACAAACATACTTACACATTTATATATTCCTATTTTCAAATATATATGTTGTGTAATCTTTTCTTCTACCCAAAAGGTCGTTTGTTTAGCAATCCTGAGTTTGTCTTGATTTCCATTTTATCACATAGTCCTGGAATAGTACCTATTCCAGTCATCTCCATGAGTCACATTCTTTTATTTTTCTGGTCAACTTGGGCTTTCATCGTGGCCAGTATTAGTGATATGATGTTGAGGAAGTAACAAAACAACTGTTTCAGACTTTCCTTGATAATAACTGGAAAAGGTCAAACCAAACTGCCTATAGAGCTCTTCCAAGCTCTGCCATTCTGTAATTGCTTTTAAGATAGTGCAAAACCACCTTTCAGAGCTACATATAAAACATGTTGACTTAAATTACCTTAAATAGTAGAACAAAGGAACATTTCCCCCCCCCCCCCCCAGAATGTTCTTTTGAGTGGTAGCCCCACATATTGAACAGCTCAGATATGCCTGATGTGTGTATTTTGATATTTATCTTTATTGGTGAATTGCTCTTGTTTATGTTTGATGATCTTTTTCTGTGACCCTGTGATAGTCATCTAGGGTCAGAGCCATAAAGAAATGCCACCATAAAAGCGGTAATCATCTTAGGACCTTCTGAATACTTGCTTACTGTTTTGTGACTGTGTGTATGCAAACAGCAGCAATGAACGTTCCCCACTAGACTCAATCAGGAATTTCCTTTCCAGTTGTATATTAAGCACATAATAACTTCATGTGCTCATTATTTGGTGGTGTTAGAAGAAGTTTAATGATCAGTAGATTAAAACTAAGTGAGGATAAACACTGGGATTACTCTATTCAGAAGCAGCACTTTCCCATTTCTTCCTGGGGTTAAAAAATACACTTTCCCAGGCTCTTCCCCCACAGAATGAATGTTTTTAACTTCTTTCTTGAGCAGTTATATATCAGGGAGATTTGGAAATTACTGCTCTAGGGAAAAGTACTAGTGAATTTTTATTGGAGGCGGCGGGGATTGGACCTAAGAAAGTCTCCAGTGCTAATGTTTGATGATTCCAGTGTTCTTTCTAATGGCCCCAAAAACTACTTCTAGAAAAGCAGCTAGTCCTTTCCTTTTTTAAAGTGCTTTCTCACCCTGTTTCTTTGTAGGACGGTAAATTGAAAAAGCCCAAGAGTAAAGATAAAGATAAAAAAGTTCCTGAGCCAGATAGCAAGAAAAAGAAGCCGAAGAAAGAAGAGGAGCAGAAGTGGAAATGGTAAGATCTCAGCACGGGGTTAAAATGTCAGCTCTTTGATTCCAAAGCCTAATTAAGCAATAGTGTTGAGTTATTAAAATTAATACCTTGATATTTGAGGGAGGAGGGAAATACTTAAAAGAATCTCTCTCTACCAAGACTTAGCAGAGGGCAGTTACCTCCGGAACATTTGGGCCCGGGGTCATTGCACAGCTTCAGGTCCAGGGATGGATGCCTCACTGCCTGTGAGGTACCTGACAGCCACGCACAGCAGACCACAGGGAAAGAAAAGTGTGACAAACCCCTTTCCTCTCCTGCAGGGAGCGCTTTACCCATCTTCAGGGGACACACAGGAAGAGGAGGGCCCTGGGAGCAGGAGGAGGAGGGCCCTGGGAGCAGAATTTTTCCACCTGCCACACTGGGAAGGGACAAGAACTGAGCCCTCCCTTTTGAGGCTTACCTTTCCTAGTTCCCATTTGCAGGATGGAAAGAATCTCAGGAACATTGGTGGAGCCGATTACGTCCGCAGCCTCTCCCTGGAAGCTCTCTGGATGATGCTGGGAGAGAAGGGTAGAGCTGATCAGGGACTCAGGCTTTGGTTACTGATTCTCCTCACTGAAGGCCAACCAGAGATCCAGATTGTCAAGTCCACTCATTCGAAATGTCACTTTTACCATATCCTTCCTCTCTCCAACAGTCATCCATTAAATGATGCTCCTACCAGGGTGCAGGGGTCAACCAAAAAAAAAAAAAAAAAAAAAAAAGAATCTCTCTAGAATAACATTCTGAAATAAGTTTCCAGGTCCTAGTGAAAGCATTAACTAGCTCATAACTTATTTTGTCTCAAAACTTGGTCATAATCTATTGAACAGAATGAACTATAGAAGTAGACTTATTCATATATGGGAACTTAGCATATGAAGAATACTGCATTTAAAATTATAGGGATAATTTTAAATAAGATGGATTATTACATAAATAGGCTGGGAAAACTGCCTGTTTAAAAAAAAAAAAAAATCTCCCCAAGAAAACCTGTGTGAATATCTTTATAATTACAGAATAGGAAAAGCTTTATAAATTTGATACACCAAAGTTAAATCTGCCCTGGCTGTTAGACTCAGTTGGTACACCAAAATGTCTCTCAGACTGGGAAAGATTAATTAGTATCAAAATATCTAGGTTGAGAGTGTGAGAAAACAGGTATTCCCCTTCTCTATGGGATGAAGAACCCTGCAGTCTTATGGAGGACAATTTAGCAATAACAGAAATTACTTTTGAAAAGTATATTTAGGAGGGAAATTTCATTTTCTACTTAAGTTTTGGTGTTTAGAATTTTGAAATAAACATTTTTAATAGTGATTTTACTTAAAATTTGGTTTTGGGTGTATTGTTTTGTTTTCCAATGAATCTTTACCCAAGGATATTTTTCTATTGCTCTTCAGAGAGAGTGGAGGAGAGGGAGGAAGCAAAGGGGAGAGATAGAGAAAGAGAGAGAAACATTGATGTAAGAGAGACACATTTATTGATTGCCTTCTGAGTGTGCCACCACATGTATGGGGATCAAACCTGCAACCCAGGTGCGTACTCTTGACCAGGAATCAAACCAGTGACAGCCCTTTAAGAGAATAGGCCGATGCTCTCACAATTGAGCCACATTGGCCAGGGCAAAACTTTGTATTATTTAACTTCTACACCAATAATATATGATTTGTACTTATATTGAAAAATTCAAATGATCCAGAGGCATAGGATTCAGGGGAAAAAATGACAGTTTTCTTTCCTTCCTATTCCCACTTTTCCTTTCCAGCTTTGGGGCAACCACTATTTGTAGTTTGGTGTGTAGAGTTCCAGACCCATTTATATGCATGTACTCTATGGCTTTTGTGACTTAGATCTAAGTCAGAAGCTGAGGGAAGGAGAAGGAGCAGTGACTAGGTGGTGGCAGAGAGGAGCAGAGCTACAGTAGCAGAACTGCTCCATGTAATTGTGGGTGTGAACACATGGGGTTAAAAGGAAAATGTAGGAAAAAATCAGAGTCAAGGAACCCTGGGCCTGTGCAGGGGTCACAGTCAGAAAACAAAAGATATAATTTTCCTCTTTTCATTTTTTTTCTTTGAAACAAATTTCTTGTCATAACTAGCTCCTTTCTGTCTTCCCCCTTCCTTGGCCCTAATGCTCTTATTGGGCCCTAATGTATGTATTCTTTTCCTGGCTCAGCCGTGTGTGTGTGTGTGTGTGTGTGTGTGTGTGTGTGTACACCCTGGAAGAGTCTAATAGCCTAATTTTGCTTCCATGGTTGAAATCCTTATTGGTGTTGCCACACATTAATTTTGAGAGTCTGGCTTCTGTGTTGTTTGTTTGTTGTTCACGTGTGGGATTGGTTAGTCTTGAACTGAAGATGGTTGGTTCGGAGGGAAGCAATCTTTGCTATAGTTAGTTTCCTTGCATGCTTTTCTTAAGTCTGACTGTTAAGTCCTGCCCATTCTTAAGCACAGTCCTTTGTGGTGGTGCAGGGTAAGTTTTAGAAGTAGAGAACAGGAATGATTAGTTTCTTACCTGAGAGCTTGCCTTTTCCTTCTGTAACTATTGGCTCCTATCACACCCTGAAGGCAGTAATTCAGACCTCTGACAGCATCATCAGGGAGCTTTGATGACAGATACCCTCACTTGTACTCACCTCTTGATATTCCACTAAAAGAATTACACACTTGACCAGCTTAGCTCGGGTGCAGATCGTTTGCTTCCGCCTAGAGCCTACAGACTTGTTCATCTTGCCAGAAACGAACTTTGAATCCCTATCTCCCTCTCTTTGGTAATTGTGGGGATGGGGAAATGGTCAGGGTCCCTCTAGGTTTCTTCACTGTTTGCATTTCCCCCATAGAAACAATGTTACAAGTGGCTGCAATATGCTCAGGTTTAGTTCTATGAGGATCTCTTTAACCCATTTTGACTGGTACCCATGGTAGCTGTATAGGATTTCAGTTTGTCTTCAGTTAAGTACACTTTTGTGTCAGGGCTGTCCTGTTGAAACATAGATGCCCTGTTAATACTACTAAGAAGACTTCACCAAAAGACCTGAGACTGGAGTTTGTTGCTGGTGTTCGGTGTGACTTTGAATGGAGTTTTGAGTCTTTTTTAGCGAAGAGACTCAAAGGATTATAATGTGGGGAATTTGTGTTGAAAGATCGGGACTCATGAATACAATTAGTAATAGTAGTAAGAAACTTATGAAATATGCATTGACATTCTCCTCAAACCATAGAAACTGTCCTTGATTCATTAGATTAGCTTCCCGAAAGCTGTGGCATGTGACCTTTATTTCTGAGATTTAAAAATGAAATGTGCATTTTACAGTGTACTCTGAGGTGTTTTTTAACTATAAGGGAATATGATTTTAGAGAATATGTGGATGTTTACTTTCCTGTCTTACACGCATTTCTAGCACTTTTCCATTTTGTTTACTCAAGCACATTTTATTGTCACATTTATACCTAATGAGTTACTAAGTTGAGTCTGCCATAGAGAAATCATTTCATTGCGTACATGTTTTCCTCTTTATTTTTAAAAATATATATTTTTATTTATTTCAGAAAGGAAGGGAGAGAGAGATAGAAACATCAATGATGAGAGAGAATAATCGATTGGCTGCTTCCTGCATGCCTCACACTGGGGATTGAGCCAACAATTCAGGCATGTGCCCTGACTGGGACTCAAACTGTGACCTCCTGGTTCATGGGTCGATACTCAGCCACTGAGCCACGCTGGCCAGGCCTACATGTCTTTCTTAATTCTGTTGATGAAACATTGATTGGGGAATAAAAGGCATCAGTAGTGTCAGAGACATTGGTTCAGGGAGAGTTGCTGACCCAATAGTATCAGCCTGTGGGAGTATACGTTCTATCTGGAGAATAATAGACTTGGGTTCCTGCTTCTAGGCCTTTTTATGCCAACGAAGAGTTGGGAGATCCTGCCAGTTTCACATCTGTAAAAGTGGTAGTTGGTCATAGAGGATCTTTAATGTTCCTTCTAGGTCTGACATTTTATTACATGTTAACCTTGACTTTTCTTTTTATTATCTTTAATTGCAGTAAAATAACATAAAATGTATCATCTTATCTATTTTTAAGTGTTCAGTTGAGTGGTTGTATTTTCCTATTGTTGTACAACCATCACCAACACCATTCATCTCCAGAACTCTCTTCATCTTACAAAACTGAAACTGTTAAACAATAACTCTTACTCATGTGACCTTTCCCCCCTAGTTGTTGGTAACCACCATTCTATTTTCTGAGTTGGTTAGTCTAGGTACCTCATGTAAGTGGAACTATACAGTATCTGTCCTTTTGCGACAGGCTTATTTCACTTAGCGTGTCTTTCAAGTTCATCCATGTTGTACATGTGTCAATTTATTTCCTTTATTGGCTAAATATAATTAATTTTATATACCTACCACACCTTGTTCATCTACTGATGGATACTTAGCTTGTTTCTACTTTTTGGCAGTTCTGTGCTGCTATGAAATGTTCGTGTACAAGTATTTGCTTGAATATCTGCTTTGAATTATTTTGGGTATATTCCTAGGAGTGAAATTGCTGGATCCTGTGATAATTCTTTTTAACTGTTGAGGACTTGCCATGCTGTTTTCCACAATAGCTGTATGTGTTCACATTCCAACCAACAAGACACAGGAGTTTCAATTTCTCCACATCCTCGTGCACACTTACTATTTGTAGTTTTTGGTGTGGGTTTGTTGTTGTTTTTTGTTTTTTATTTTTTATTTTTTTATTTTTCTTTATTTATTTTTAATATATTTTATTGATTTTTCACAGAGAGGAAGAGAGAGAGATAGAGAGATAGAGAGCTAGAAACATCGATGGCTCTGACTTACATTTTCCTAATTATAGATAATGTTGAATATTTGTTCAGACGTTCATTGATCACTTGTGTATTTTTGGAGAAATGTCTATTTACATCCTTTGCCTGTTTTTTAATTGGGTTATTTTGTTGTTATTGAGTTTGTGGTTCTTTATATAGTTTGGAAGTTATTTCCTTATCAACATTTTTGCTCTGCAAATATTTGTCAGTACATGAGTTGGTTTTTCCCTCTGTTGGTTGTGTCCTAAATTTTGTAGTCCATTTACCTAATTTTTCTCTTGTCCGTATTTTTGGTCATATGTAAGAAATCATTGCTACATCCAACATTATGAAGCTTTTCTTTATGTTTTCTTACAGTGTTTTATAACTTTAGCTTTTACATTTAGGTTTTTGATACAGTTTGAGTTTATTTTTGTATGTAGTATAAAAGACCAACTTTATTCTTTAGCATGAATATCCAGTTTTTCCAAAATCATTTGCTGAAAACACTTTCTCCATTGAATGGTCTTGGTAAACTGATCAGAAATCATTTGACCATATATGCTGACTTTGGTTATATAGTATACTACTATTACAGCACAGTTTGATACATGTAATTTTTATTTGATATTTCTAATCTTTGTTTAAATAGTGGAGTTGGAAGATAATAGGAAGTAATAGAGTTTGAATAATTGGCCTTTGGAATAATTCTATAGAACTGTAGGGCTTTTTATTTAAGGTAGAAATAGTGAAGATTAAAATATGAAGTTTTAGCCGAAACTGGTTTGGCTCAGTGAATAGAACATCAGCCTGCGGACTGAAAGGTCCCAGGTATGATTCCGGTCAAGGGCATGTACCTTGGTTGCGGGCACATCCCCGGTAGGGCACATCGATCAGAAGGCAGCTGATTGATGTTTCTCTTTCATCGATGTTTCTAACTCTCTGTTCCTCTCCTTTCTTCTCTGTAAAAAAATCAATAAAATATATTTTTTTAAAAGTGAAGTTTTAAAATAGTCTCTCTGTAATACAACTGAGTGACTCTTAAAGAAAACAAAATGATAGCGTGAGGTCTGTCTAATTCTCGAGAAGGAAAGACAGACAACCACTTGCAGTACATGGTCCTTAATTAGATTCAAGTTTATAAAAATAATTTTGGATTTAATTGGGAAATTTGTAATATGATCCAGATAATAGAATGCTATTCGGGAATTAATTTTGTTACATGTGGTAATTGTTTTTATAGCTAAATACGGGAATATCCTTATTTTTATAGAGATATTTGCTGAAATATTTAGGGGTGAGGTGGTATAGCTGCAACTTACTTGGAAAGAGTTCAGCAAAATAATGAAAATTTTGCCGAAACTGGTTTGGCTCAATGGTAGAGTGTCGGTCTGCGGATGAAAGGTCCCAGATTCGATTCCGGTCAAGGGCATGTACATTGGTTGCGGGCACATCCCCTGTGGGGTGTGTGCAGGAGGCAGCTGGTTGATGTTTCTCTCATCGATGTTTCTAGCTCTCTATCTTTCTCCCTCTCTGTAAAGAATCAATAAAATATATTTTTAAAAATAATGAAAATTTTAGTATAATATTATTATATATAGGTTATGGTATATGGTGTTCTATATATTCTCCACACCGCCCCCATGTTTGATCATTTTTAAAATAAAAAGGTTTTTAAAAGCTGTTTCCACTAAGTTTTACATTTCACTTATCATTGTCTGCTAGATAGCTCTAGATCAGCGGTTGCCAACCAGTAGTCCATGGACAAGGTCCAAAAGGTTGGCGACCGCTGCTCTAGATAATACCAATACCTTAAACTCAGTAAAAACCCAAGTAAACTATTATTTCCCAGTCTTCTGTTGCATTATGTATTTTCTCTTAGGTTTGTTTTCCCTAAACCTTCAACTGGCATCTCCACTTCCAGGAGGCCTTTTCTTATGTATCAACAGCATAAGTGTTATATATTTCATTGTTACTATCATATCATAGTGATAAAACAATGGTTTTATTTCTATATCCCCACTTGTTGCCAAGCTTCTTGATTGATGACCTCTTGTATACAATATCTTTGAACTGTTGAAATGTATTTTCTCCATTTCATCTTATTTGTTGTATTGGGTTTTTCAAAGTGAAAGACACTGGTTATTTTGATCCAGGCCTTGAATTTAGGGCTCTGAGTCATTCCAAAGCACCAGTCAGTTGAGGAGATATCCTTTTATTTAATAGGTGATAATCTCTACAGTAGGTAAAGTGGTCACTAAATGAGGTTGTACCTTGTCTTCTAAAGGTGGGAAGAAGAGCGTTATCCTGAGGGCATCAAGTGGAAATTTCTAGAACATAAAGGTCCTGTATTTGCTCCACCATATGAGCCTCTTCCAGAGAGTGTCAAGTTTTACTATGATGGTGAGTTGTTCTAAGGTTATCTAATTCTTGGACAAGAAAAGACTCTGATTCTATTTAGGAATAGAAAGTGAGGAAGGACCCTGTGCTGTATATTTTTTTGTTTATTTCATTTTGTTTTATTCTCTACATAACTCACCGCACTGGGCCCACAGTCTGAGTTCTTTTATCTGAACTTTATTTCTAAGGAGCCACTCTGCAGAAGTTATTAGAAAAGCCTTACTTGAATGATAGTGTGTTTTGTTTTAGCAATATAATGCAAACTTGACAAGCTGTGCATCACTAGAAATAGTACTAATATTTGGTTGAGGATTAGTCTGTCATCAACCTCTAGGTGTAGGCCTGGTAGGTGTCTGTAGCAGAACACTATGCCTTTGCCATTTGATGTCGTGCTTTGAAAAAATGCCTTGCCTAGTTCTCATAGAACCCTTAGAAGTGTCTGTTGACTCTCATAGGTATTTCTATCCTTCATTTGAAGAATTTGAGAGTAGTCTTTGACTCTCCTTCTATTGGCAATGTAGCAGTATGCAGATAATAATGTTCAATTGATTTCCCTCATTCCAAGATTTCTATCCAAAAGTGGCTAAAGCATTATTTTTCAAACTCTTATGTGCTTGACCCCACATGGATCTGGGCCATTTAATAGGTGTGGAGTAGTATTGGATGCTTCTGAACCAGTTGGTCTGCTGACCAAACTTTGAGAAACACTCAGCAGAAGAACTGAAAGCATCGGTAGTGAACACTCAAAGTTCTTATGCATCTCTGTCTACTAGCAGTGGCCTCAGGGCCATGGATGCTTATGGGTCAAAGGAGTAGTTTATATTGAAAGGCTGGTTCTTGAAAGTAAGTAACTTGGCAAACTGGATTTGTTTTTAAAAACCATGTTTCTTCAATATGTCTGTAATCAGATACCGAGATTCAGCAGTGGCCAGTATTGACTATTCCTCGATTGCGTGGTGTTTGCAGGCTTACTGCAGTAGGAGCTACTGGACCTCATAGCCTCAGTGACAAATGCTTATATCAAATAAACATTCTGTCCTGTGTTTATCAGAGAGCACAGGACAAAGTTCTGTTAGCCCTCACATTCTAAGGATTCTATAAGAACTAGGCAGGGCATTTTTTCAAAGCAGCATATCAGACTAGAATGCACATATAGCAAAGGCATAGTGTTCTGCTACAGACCCCTACCAGTCATTTCTGGAGATTCTTAAATGTGACTGAACGCCAAAATTCCAAAGAAAAGAGAGTCAACAACCTTGAAAAAGACAGTCATAAAAGTACAGTTAATCTTAGCCCTAGTCTGGGTTTACCAAGGGCTTTAGAAAGGCCAACTGGTAAAGCCTCACTTTGAGATTCACAGTGATTTGAGGGAAAGCTCGATTCCCTAGTCTTTGGGTTTCTTTTCTCAGGATGGGAAGCCAGGGCTGGAATAGTCATCACTTGTCGCCATGGTCCCTCCCCCAATTCTTGCTTAGTTCTTTGTCATAGGAGCTCCAATTCCAGGGCTATAGTATTTTCTCAATTGGTCTTTCTCTGGAATTCTTTCCTTTGATTATGTAATCTCCTACTGCAGTAAGCCAGGAAGTCACAGTTCTCTTGCTAGTCCAAATTGATTCTGTAAGTCCTGCCTACTCTCTAGGGAAGAGAATTCTCAGATTCTTTTAGCCTGCCAGGGAGGTGGAGCATAGGCTGGCTGAAGCAGTGAATTGCCTCTAAGAACCTCCAGTTTTCAGCTGATTCAGCAATTTCTTCTTCCTGAAGCTCAGCCTCTTCCACAAAACATTGTCATTGCCAGGAACCTTCGAGTCATCCTCTACCACCTGCTGCTGGAAGCAGTCATTTCATCTTTTGACAGCTCATCTAAAACAGGAGGTGTCAGAATTGCTTTCTCTATTGAGATAGAAATCAATAAAATTGTTCAGTCTCCATTTAACAAAATACTGCTGTTTAGTTTATACCAAACAGACCTGAGAGAACAATTTACATATTTCCTTGCCATTTGTTTTATTCTTAGTGACTTAATGTTTTCCTTTATATTGGAAGCATGTTACAACTTTACTGGCAAGTCTGGTTCAGATGGGAATGGGGAGTTGTGAAGAAGTGCAGGAAACCCTTGAAAGCCAGTCTATTTGTTACCCTCAGTCTCTCTTCCAAAGGCTGGAGCTTGGGAGGTTGATGGGGAAGCAGCGCCACCTGTTGGCCTTTTAAGTTATTGATTCCAAGAAGGTTCTTTCCGTCTACCATGGCAGTTTCAATTTTGTGCTATGATTTCTTGCATCCCTACAATCAGGGACACTGACCTGCCAATCATCGTGAGATGAGATGTCTTCTGAGTTTTGAAATAACTGGATTTCTAGTTAAGTTAATTTTCTATAATAAATGTGAAAGTCCCTAATGAATTATTAATACCTATGTAAGTAGTAACGTAGTGGTATGGTATTTAACCCAAGTGATTTTAAGTATAGCCAAATTATGCCATGGATGGCCTTGTAAACTTGGGTTTTCAAGGAAAAAAATGGAAATGGACCCTAAGAGTACTGTTTAAAGTACACTATTTAAAAAGTAGATTAAATTCCTGAGTACTTTTATTAACTACTTGAGGTCCACAAAACCCCAAGAACCCATTCAGATTTACTCTACACTGTATAACATCGGGATTCCTTTAGAAGGGCTTTTGTTAAACGTGGGCACTCTGCTGAGGACCCAGTCATCTCTTGTATCCTCACTTAGTCCTGATGCCCTGAATGAGGCAACCTCATAATGCCTGTTCCAGGGCAATGCATCTCAAACTCTGCTGTGCACACAAGCCACTTGGGTCTTATTAAAATGCACTTACTAATTCAGCAGGTCTGGTGTGGAGCCTAAGATTCTGTATTTCTAACAAACTTCTGCTTGATGCTGATGCTGTTGGTCTGTGAGCCACACTTTGAATAGCAACATTGTAGAGGAAGGTCTGTCTTAGACTTTTCATAGAGATATCTGGGCTTGCCTGCTATGGACATATTTCTTTATTCATATTCCACCCGCCTAACTTTAAAGAATAAAGTAGCCTATTTCTTTTCTCCACAATTTCTTTCTTCTGCTCCCTGCCCTATCCTTTCCTCCCCTTCTTGAACAGAAGCTGCTTAGCTTAGCACTGGCAGGTGTCCCTTGAGGATTTCGTTTTTAAAAATCATTGAAGAGGTATAAAGGACCCTGCTTGCTGAAAAGAAAAGGAAGAGTGACTGGGCCTCCCCCAGGTCATCCCTGGGAACAATTTACTGACTGACATAGTCTCCAGAAAATGACCCAGGTAAATATCTGCTAAAGAGAAGGAACATCTATACAAGTAGATATGTCAGAATATTATATTTATTGTTATTGTTATCACTTGCACCAGACCTCTAGATATCTTGGGAAAGTAAATCCTTATTAAAGTAGATTTCTCCAGAGCTCAGTATTTATACTCAGAACATGAATATTATACCTTATTTTTTGGAACCACTTTTTTTCTAGGTAAAATCATGAAGCTGAGCCCCAAAGCAGAAGAAGTAGCTACGTTCTTTGCAAAAATGCTCGACCATGAATATACTACTAAGGAAATATTTAGGAAAAATTTCTTTAAAGACTGGAGAAAGGTATTGTAGCTCATGTATTAATATCCTAGCATCTTGCAAAAATATTGATCAACTAATAGTAAGAAAGATCAAAAGTAAGAAATCATAATTTTACAGCAAATCCGTGGATATAAAATTTGAGTTTATGAATTATATTAAAGGTTATTTTTTTCTACTCATTTACTATATTGTATAAGATTTCTGTCCAACAAGAACGCTTACATTTCTTTCCTCCCCACTGTCATATAGCCAAACAGAAACCTCAGCTCCCGCTGTGCAAGGGAGAATTTGTTTCAGACACCTGCACTCTGTCCCCTGTAGCAGAGAGATTAATGTGATGCCCCTGTCCCTCTTATTTGCTTTAGGTGCTTTCTGCTTTTAAACCCATGAATCTGCCTCGGTGATTTTAAACTAACTTATTCTCAATTTGGATAATGTAGGCAGAGGCCAAGCTGAAGTTTACATTCTGAATAGCTCTGGAAATAAGGTTTAATAAGTGAATAAAGGGAGATAATGTTTCTAAAAGAGGCTGGGTATGGGAATAGTTCTTTATTTCTATTTTTCCAACTGGTATTCATATGCCTAGAAAGGATTGTGGCAATGTGCCAAGGAGTCCAAGATGCTACATAAGAATTACCTTTTTTAAGGATAACATTTTAAACATTTTAATGTCAGATTTTATATACAATGCATGAGCTAAGGAGCAACAGCAACTTTGCAGAGTACCCTCTTGCACTCCTGGACCCCTTTGGGGATGTCAGATGGCCAGTTTTGGCCTGATCCCCGCAGGCCAGGCTGAGGGAGCCTGCTCACTCTGCAGGCGCCCTTCAAGCTCTGGCACCACCCCAGGTGCGGCTGGCCAGGGAGGGACCCTGGGAGGTTGGCTCCAGGGTGTATCAGGCCCGTTTCGCCCAGTCCCGCCCTGCCAGACACTTTCTAATTAACTTTTTCAATGTGCACTACCCCATGCACTGGGCCTCTAGTTTTATAATAAAAGGAAATAATAAAATTATATATATATATATATATATATATATATATATTTTCAAATCTCACTAATTTAGATTGACTACCTATCCAGATACCTTTGACTGAAGAAATGATGCTTTGCTATAATTGCAGGAAAATCTGAGGGCTTACTACAATATTTACCTTCTTCTATCTCCCTCTTTTCTTTTGACTAGGAAATGAATAATGAAGAGAAGAATGTTATCACCAACCTAAGCAAATGTGATTTTACCCATATGAACCAGTATTTCAAAGCCCAGTCAGAAGCTCGGAAACAGATGAGCAAGGAAGAGAAACTGGTACTATTTCTTAAATTTCTGAGGAGTTTGGTATAGGGATTGTTTCATCCATTTTTCTTCTTGGTTCTTATAGGACAGCTTTGGCTTGAGTAATCTCACATGGCTCTGTACTAAAGATTTAAGATTCTCAACCTAGAGGAATAGATTTTCTTCAGGGTTTCGTATAGACCGAAGATTGTGAATAAGCACTTTGTTTGATGGCTCAGTATAAAAACCCTGATGCTGCTGACCTCCAACAATATAGTTCTTAAAGATTGAGAGATCTGTCTTACAGTGGCTCCTGTATGTTAGAGAGTTATGACAAATCAAATACTACTGGCCATATACCTCCCTCTTCTCTGGTCTACTTTATACTGGAATCTAGCCAGTCTCATTTATATGCATCTTCCAGTCTTGACCAGCCTTTTTCCTGAAGGATCTTTTCAGTATCCAGCTGGGATGTCATTTTCTTCTAGAGCATCAGTAGGCAAACGATAGGCTGCCTGTTTTTGTAAACAAGTTTATTGGAACACAGCCACATCTATTCATTTATACATTATCTGTGGCTGCATTCATGTGGCCGAGTTGAGCAGTTACAACAGAATCCTTATGGCTCTCAAACCTAAAATATTTCCTATCCAGAAAAAGTTTACCAACTCCTGATCTAAAGGAGTGCAAGCTGGAGTTTCATTTATTTCAACTTGGAGGTCCGGAAGTTAAGGATTTTAAGAAATTCTTTGCACTTCAAAGCCCTTAGAGATTGTGTTTTAAAAACTTGGCATGCTTCTAAAATTTAGGCCATTGTATTTTATGTTATTTTAAAATTTTTTATTTACTGATTGATTTCAAGAGAGAGAGGAGGGAAAGGAGAGAGAAAGAACACACACACACACACATATCGCTTTGTTGTTCCGCCTCTTCATGTATTCGTTGGCTGCTTCTTGTATGTGCCCTGACGGGAGAGCAAACCTGCAACCTTGGCGTATTGGGATGGTGCTCTAACCAACTAAGCTACCTGGCCAAAGCTATATTTCTGTACTCATTGTTTGATGGTGTCTATTTGACCTTTAGTATGAAAATGAGTTACTAAAAGAATAACTGCATTAGTCTTTTTCATGTCGGCTTAGTCGTCTCCCCAATATTCCAGATAAGTGAAATTTGGTTTATGATGCACTTCAGTGGTGTTTTTAAACTTAAAAACCTCTGGTGTTTTGTTCTTAGAATATTGATCCAAAGATAGGGAGGTTTTGTAAGTATCACCTCGTCAGAGCCCCTGCCAAAGACACTTGCTGCCAGTAAGTTCTGAGTCTGAACCCACCCATAGGGAAATGGGACTTGGTTAGATTGAATTGCTAAGTATCATAGGACTGACAAGGCAGCAGATGGCCACGGGCCTTCAAATCTGTCCCTTGCCTTTTTGGAGCAAGGGTCACAATGTCTGTAACTAATATCTAGGATAGAATCTCCGACAGACTTATTTGAGCTTGAAAACCCATGTGAAATGCTATTTAACTGAATGCCTCTGGAATCTGTGAGAGAACACGGAGGTGCTGCCTCTGAGGCCCTGTCAGAAAGGCTCTTGTCCATCCATATTGATAGTGCTCAGCAAAAACGGTGTTAATTTTTATTTTAAATATATTTTTATTGATTTCAGGGGGCGGGGGGGAGAAACATAAAGGATGAGGGAGAATTATTGATTGGCAGCCTCCTGCACGCTTCCTACTGGGGATCAAGCCCAGAACCCAAGCATGTGCCCTTGACTGGAATTGAACTGGAGACCTTCCAGTCCACAGACAAATGCTCTATCCACTGAGCCAAACCAGCTAGGGCTGGTGTTAATTTTTAAAGTTACATTTAAAACTACCAAGGTGCCCTAGCCAGTTTGGCTCAATGGATAGAGTGCTGGCCTGTGGACTGAAGGGTCACAGGTTCGATTCTGGTCATGGGCACATACCTAAGTTGCAGGCTCCATGCCAGTCCTGGTTGGGGTGCATGCCAGAGGCAACCAATTGATGTGCCTCTCTCCCCCTCCTGTTCACTCTAAAAATCAATGTAAAAATATCCTCCTGTGAGGGTTAACAACAACAAAAAACTACCGAGGTAATCTATATATATCAAAGAGTAATATGCTAATTAGACCAGACACCCTTCTGAACAACCTTCCTGACAAAGCTGGGCTGCCGGCTGGTAGCCAGAGGGAAGCTGGTGCTGCAGCCAGGGGAAAGAAGGCCTATTCTTGCACGAGTTTCATGTATCTGGCCTCTAGTATATTTATAAACTTATATTCTTAAAGATGACAAAATTTATAGTTCAATTAATCCTTATAGGGAAATCTTTAGGGAAATTTTATTGTATTTAAGTTTGAGAATTCTATTAGAGGTTTTTTCGAACTTGAATCCATTTCTTAGTAGTTTTTAGATGTTACTTTGACCTGTTCTCACACGAGAGATAAGAATATCTAAGTAGAGAACAGCCATTTGAACCCATTTTGAGTATTTTCTTGCTGTCTTCCAGAAAATCAAAGAGGAGAATGAAAAAATACTAAAAGAATATGGTTTCTGTATTATGGATAACCACAGAGAGAGAATTGCCAACTTCAAGATAGAACCGCCTGGGCTTTTCCGTGGCCGTGGCAACCACCCTAAGATGGGCATGCTGAAGAGACGGATCATGCCTGAGGACATAATCATCAACTGTAGCAAGTGAGCTGGTTCATCCTTCGGGCCAGAAACCAAGTGGGGGCTTCCTTTGTTCTTAGTCGTTGGGAATATTTCCCACATTAGAGAACTGATGAGGGCAGCTCAGTATTTTCATGTGTACATCTCCAAGTGTATTTCATGTATTAATTGATGAGGAAGAAACTTGGACCTATATGCTCAGCAAATTAATCTCCATTAGGTCAAGAAAGGTGAAATTGTTCCTCACGAGTCCTCACTTCACTGCCCTCCTGTTTTGTTATTTCTACAGAGATGCCAAGGTTCCTTCTCCTCCTCCAGGACATAAATGGAAAGAAGTTCGACATGATAATAAGGTTACTTGGCTGGTCTCTTGGACAGAGAATATCCAGGGTTCCATTAAATACATCATGTTGAACCCCAGTTCAAGAATTAAGGTAAGGGGTGGTTCAGAGCTGCCCCAGTTAGTGGGCAGTCTCTTTTTGTTGAAATGTAATATTTTTAGACTTTTAGAGCCACTTTGACAAATTAAAAACCCTCACCACAAAAAGAAGGGAAGTACTTTCAAAGTTGGCATTATCCAGAGACCTCCCTAAGGGGTATCCATTTTTGCATTGCTTTGTAATCTTGCTCATTTATTCACAAATATTTGCTGAAATCCCAGTATTGCCTGACACAGTATTGCATAATGCTAGGAATGGTATGAGCAAACAAGGTAGCTGTCTTCATATTGTCTGCTAGCCAGAGTTCAGAATGTATTGGCTTCTATAGTTCCTTTTCTTTTCCTCACCTTTCTTGCCACTGAAGGGATATAATTGCTCTGAAAACAGATAAAAGTTGTAAAATCTTACATACTCTGACTTGCCAAGGTTTCAGGTGAGTAGGTTCCACCAGGACAAGTGGAATAATGCATATGAAAACACGTCACGAACTGCTAAACATCCTCATGCTGTAATTGAAAGGGGAAAACTGGGAAAGGCAGTCAGTTCTTGTTAGCCGGCCAAGAATACCCTGCTTGAGAGAGTCCCACCAACTTACTTCCTTAGATATACTATGGAAATGTGATCAGCAGCCTGAAAGAGAGACGAGCTCCATAAGAAAATGTTCAAGGGATTAGTTCCATGTAGACTGTGACTGTTTACATACAGGGGACTGGTACTAAAGACCTTCTTAATCTTGGTTTATATTTATAGGTCATTAAATGTTTAATTGTAAGGCCACAGCTCAAAAGGCCATGTATCTTAGTGAGACTGAACTGCACTTTTTCTAGCTCATAGTCCTGTGTTCTAATGAAAATTACCCATTTATGTTTTCTTCATTTAGAAAATGTCACTTTTTCTAGTTTTGAGTAAGTAGAGAATCAGAAAGAGAACTTCATGGTGAGCAAAAGTGAACTCGTATAAAGAAATGTATTGTATTCCCTTCTTAGATATCACACAGGTGGATAACAGCGGCTTTAGCCCTCAAAGAACCTGTGGTCTAGTGGGCAAATTCAGTAAGAATTCAGTTATACTAGAAGAAAGGCAAATATTAAATGCTTTAGATAAATAGAGCAGTAAAAAAGTCAGGAACAGCTTTATGAAGGAAATTCAGGGGCCACTAGAGAGGCCAAATCTTCAGACATTTCCTGAAGGTTTTTTATATTATCCTTAATTCAATAAGAGGCCACTGGGTTTTAAAGAAGGTTTGTGTGTTAGAAACCTGTGACATAATAGATCATTCTGACTGCTGCTCTATGGATTAGATGCAAACAAGTAGGGAGACTGTAGTATTTCAGGCAAGAAATGGTGATGACCTAAAACAAGTGATGGCAGTACTTCAAGAGCAGAGATTTGTGCTGGTTTCTTGATGGTTATGGCAGTGAACCTAGAAGACACCCAGATGTAGGTCCTGCCTAGAACCTTATATCCAGTGGCTGACTCAGCTGGGTTGGGATCCTAAGAGTTAAGAAGATGGTTAAAGACTTGGCAAGGGGTATTTTTTGAGGGAAAAAGAAATATGATTCATTCAGCTTTCTGTCAATCTCGTTGGCTACTTCTCACTCAGCAGCTGAACAGTGAGGACTTTTTGAGGTCTGAGTTTGACAGTACTTTTTAACTGCACAGCCAGCAAGAGAGGCAGTCTCTCTCTTTTAAAAAATATATTTTAACAAGAGGCCCAGTGCACGAAATTCGTACACTTGGGGCGGGGGGCGATGCCCTTCAGCCCAGCCTGTGTCCTCTTACGGTCCTGGAGCCTTCAGGGGATGTCCGACTGATGGTCAGGCATCTTTAGCACTGCCACAAAGGCAGGAGAGGCTGAGTGGTGCTCCTGCTGTCGGAGCACACTGACCAGGGGGCATCTCCTGCATTGAGCATCTGCCCCCTGGTGGTCAGTGCACATCATAGCAACGGTCATCCTGCCATTTGGTCAATTTACATATTAGCCTTTTATTATATAGGATAGGATTGATTTCAGAGAGGAAGGAAGAAGGAGGGAGGGAAACATCAATGATGAAAGAGACTCATTGATAGGCTGCCTTCTGTATGCCTCAGATGGGATTGAACCTGCAACCTACGCCTGTGCACTGACAGGGAATTGAACTGTGACCTCATGGTTCATAGGTCAGTGTTCAGCCACTGAGCACACCAGCTGGGCAGTGGATACTTGTCCATTACAGAGGGTGACTGAGTCAGGGAAGAGGACAAGGGGCCAAAGGCAGCCCTCTACAGTGGACACCTTGTTTTCCTGAGATGATTTTGATAAAAACCTTGACTTGGATGACCAAAATAGATACTTTATTTTTTACAAGTATTCTGAGAAAACTTTCTCAAGTGTCTTTTAGTCTGGATTCTGCTCAGGGACACTGAAGGCAGCAAGTGTAAACATACTTCCTGGAGGCCAGCCTTCCCCTGCCAGACCTAGACAAGGTGGCTTTTGCTGGGTCCTTATTTGAGAGGATCTTGGATTCCCTGTACCAGGAGCCCAACCAACATATGAGGAAAAGTTGGGCTCATGGTAGCCTCTGTGAATGAATTATTTGTTGGGTTTTCTAAACTTTGTTTCAGTGGCATGACTAAGGGACTGAGGAAATAAGTTCTACAGGACTTGGAAGAGTCAGAGTCAGGCTGTGGTAGGCCTCTGTGCCTTTTAGAGTATGGGGAGAGAAGTCCACTCCTGTGCTGGAGACTATGTTGTTGCAGACAAGCCTCCGGGTCTAATCTTATGTGCTATGTCATGGAAACATATTACTGACTTGTACACAAGGACAGCTTATGTCACACCTGTTCTTACTCTTAACATCAAAATGTACTGAGAAAAACCTGTGAGAAGTTTTCAGCTTTCCATTGTCTGGAAATAGAACTTAGATATTTCTTCTGTATTACCAGTGACTAAATTATCCACCCACAACAACATATAGTTACTAAACCTCTTGTTTTATTGCTAAACAAATATATATAGCTAGTCCACACTCTGTGTGGGAGGGTGCTGACAACTCCTTAGCACACTTGAGTGAGCTTCTTCCATTGCTGAGTGTTTGTCAGGAGAAGTAGAAGACATCTCTTGTCCCATGCTCCTCATTCTCCCGTGTGCTCGGGCCAGTTACCTGACCACAGTTCTTACATCTGAAAGACCACGTGTCATAGGCAGGAAGCAAGCATATGTGGGTAAAATTACTACTACTCTTTTGTTGTGGGGTGGAGGAATTAAGAGCATATTCTTGGGTTCTGAAATTCCATCCCTGCATTCATGTCATATAGTATGTTGTAGGCCTGGTAATACTTCTGATACTCTTAAATTTCTTGAATATTTTTTCCCTCCTTACCTTTCTCACTTGATACTATTAGTCCTTGCTAGCAGAAATCTTCCATCACTGTTGATGGAAAATTTCAGCCTTTTCATACCTTTTAAAAGTCTTTAATTTGCTTTAGAATTCAATTTTTAAACTTCCACAAAAAGCTCTAATGTTTACAAAAAGACTTCCCAGTAACATTATTTCCCTCAGTCTAATCAAGAATATTTTTAAATGCAGAAGTTAGGAAATGGTGCGTAATTATGGCTATTCCTAGAAATCATTGTATTCCTTCCTAATTACATGTTGTAATCTTTGGTTCTGCTTCCTTGACAGTCTCTTCCATCAAACTAAATGGCTGTCTTGAATTTAATGAAATTCAGTTCCAGTGGAAACTGCTGTTGGGTCACAGTAACGGTGTGATGGGGGTATTTATACCCTTTGTGTTGACAGAAGTCAGTTTGGGGACATGCCATGTGGGCTTTTCCCAAGAACGTAAACATTTCAAAAAGTGGAAGCCAGAGGCTTTCTTAGTTTCTTGGTAACTAGGAGTCAGTTGAGCTAGATAGTGAAACGGGATTAGAGGCCTGAAATTTTCTCTTCAGTACTCTGTTTTTCTCCTTTGCTTAAAGCTCAAGTTTCTTCTCTTTGGTGCAGAGCTCTGAACTTGGGTATGTGTTCTATCTTTACTCACTATCCCTAAGCAGTCCACCTTTGGGATTGGGTCTTTGCAGGGTGAGAAAGACTGGCAGAAATATGAGACCGCTCGGAGGCTGAAGAAGTGTGTGGACAAGATCCGGAACCAGTATCGAGAAGACTGGAAGTCCAAAGAGATGAAAGTCAGACAGAGAGCTGTTGCCCTGTACTTCATCGACAAGGTGAGAGCGTCTGCCTGTCACATTGCCTGATGCGTTCAGCTTAACAAAGAGGCAAGGAGCATTTAATCCTCTGGGCCCCAGGCTAAGTACTGGAGAGGTAGTGACAAGCCAGCACCAGGTCCTGCTCATGCAGTCTCTGGTCCAATAGAGAGGGTAGAACTGGAGAAGAGTCAGACCACATCTGGTGCTGTCTGAACAGTCTACCTGAGAGGAGAGTTTGCCTGAACCTGAATATGCCAGAAATGCTGTGATATTCTCAAACTCTTTCTATGAGCCACCAAAAATAATTGACATCACATCCCAACACAATTATATTTGTGTTTGTGTAACTGAAACAAAAGTTGCACAAAGCAATGCCTTTGCTGCCTTAAGAGCAATGAATTCTGATATTTTTCTGTTTCTTGTTAAAAATATAAGATTATAACCCTTAAAATTGGTTAAAAGTTCTGCTAATATATCACATTGAGAGACTGTTCTGGAGATTAGTTTTAAGAAACTTACTTTTTGCATCTGATTGCCAAGACTAGAAACATTCCCTTAGTTGCTGCTTAAAAAAAAACACACAAACTTTCCTCTATTCTCAGTTGAGAAGACCGTGTAGAGAGATTGGATTTATAGGGAAGTTTAATATCCCATGACTCTTCATACTTCACTTTATAGAGGAAGAAGCAACAATGCAGAATCCAGAATTCCCCAGGCCTTGCAGACTAATGCTCTACCTCCAAAGAGAATTGAAAGAATTCTGATTTTGGTTTTCTAGAGATCCTGTGAGATTCAAGTTTCTTCATTCATGCTCATCTTTATATTTTCTCTCACTTTCTCCTTCTGGGACAGCTTGCTCTGAGAGCAGGTAATGAGAAAGAAGAGGGAGAAACAGCAGATACTGTGGGTTGCTGCTCGCTCCGCGTGGAGCATATCAACCTGCACCCGGAGTTGGATGGCCAGGAATATGTGGTCGAGTTTGATTTCCTTGGGAAGGACTCGATCAGATACTACAACAAAGTCCCTGTTGAGAAACGAGTAAGTTAATGTGGCCTATTCTTTATTCGTTCATCTATCCATTCAACAACATTTGTAGAGTGCTTTTGTGTGCTCTGTGCTTTGTTGGGCACTAGAAAAACACTTGAAAGAGAGGGGAGAGGTATTGTTTGGTGTCTGTACCCTCACCCCCAATTCCTGGGAATGAGGGCCATCTCCCATGGCAGTATTCAACAGAGTATGCTGTAGAAGTTGGCTCTCACAACAAACTCAGCATAAGATTGAACCCACGATGTCATTTTAATGATGTAACCACATTTCCTTCCCTTGGTCATGTTGCACATTTGTCATTTGTTGCTTGGCTCAACTTCTCCCAGGTCCTGATTGAGTGAAAAGGTAGCCTTTTGGTCCTTAGATCTCTAAGCCTGTAGCTGAAGAGGTATTGCAGCTCAGTGCCCCTCCCCTCCCCCCATATTGGGCTTTAACCAGAGATCTACAGAGTGTAGGATCCTAGTAATCCAGCCTTGCAGGCTGAGGTTTCATCAGTATGTGGGCTTTACTGGCTGTCGAAATGCTCCAGATGAAATAAAGCTACAGGGACCTGGCAGTTAAATGTAAATCCTGAGCTTAGATTGGATCCCACACTGGGGATGGGTGTTAGAGAGTGAGAATATCATTAGGTCAGCTGACAAAATTGAAGTATGAACAGGTTAGATAAAAAGATATCGCTGTAATTTGTGAAGCTGATAAATACTGTGAATCTCTATCCTGTGTAAGTATCCACAGGTTGTTCAGAGCAGATTAATTAGTGAGTGCGCACACCCACGTAGAGAGAAAGAGCAAGCATACATGCACACTGCACAAATGGTAAATGAGTTTGGGTAAAGAATGTGCTGCCCCTAGAGCTTTGTGGATTTTTTTTTTTGAAAGTTACAATTGTTTCCAAAGTAAAGGTCTTAAAAATAATAATTCTTTCTTGTAGGTTTTTAAGAACTTACAATTATTTATGGAGAACAAACAGCCTGAGGATGACCTTTTTGATAGACTCAATGTGAGTGGACACAGTGCCCTGGGTTGAAGGGGGGCTCAGCCAGAGCCCGCATGCTCTTAAAGGAGGTTTGCCTGGGTGACTTGGGCTCTTCCCTCAGCCTACCCTGTGGCATCCTTTATGCTCTTCCTTCCTCGGGGTACATAGTGAATCCAGGGCCAAAGCCCTAAAACAAGGGTAAACAGACCTTGCCTTTATCCTCCTCTGGTTCCTGCAAGCCTTCCCTTGGCTGGATGCCAGCCACCTCTGGAGACCCCAGACCTGTCCTCCTCCTCTTACTAGGGAAGAGGTTAACAAGGAAGGACACATTTGTTTTATGGGCCTGCTTAAGATTGAAGTACATCTTATGGCGGTATCATGAGCCCTACGTTCCAAATTCTCTTCCGCTTTTCCTACCTTCCGTCTGGCAGAGCAGTAAACTTGGTCGTAATGCACTGGCATCAGCGCCCTCGAGCTTGCCAGAAGGGGTGGGGTTGTGTGGTTTTTACCATAAATTCCAACATCCTTGTTGCTTTATCTCATCCAGACTGCTATTTTAAATAAGCATCTTCAGGACCTCATGGAGGGCTTGACTGCCAAGGTATTCCGTACCTACAATGCCTCCATTACGCTACAGCAGCAGCTAAAAGAACTCACAGCCCGTAAGTACTGCTTGGCCATCCAGGGCCCACACCCTGCTGATGATGCCCAGTGCCCTTGATCCACTAAGTCCTAGGTCTGTTCCATGTTTTCTCTTAATATTGTGTCAGGAAACTTTTCCCTTCGTCCTTTCAATAGAGAGCTAAGGCTTAGTCTGTATAAACGTAAGACCAGTGCCATTTCCCCCCATTCCTACCCCAGCTTCTAGTTTCAAATTATGGACTGCTGATAGGGACTTTCTCTCTGCTCTGAAAATGCCTGAACTTTCTGTTTTATACGTATGTTATTTTAAAGTTCACAGAGAAAAGACATAGTGCTGTATGTTCTGTTAAATTGGAGAGTAGGTTGTCATGGTTACTAAAATAATATCAGAGCAAATCCTTTCCTTGAGGTTTCTGTCAATTTTTTCCCTTATGAGTAGGTTGAATTCTAAAAACCAACTGCAGAAGGTTTCACTGCAATCTGCAAGCTTTTTTCCTGGAGCCCAGTCACTGCTAAATTCCTACTGTCCTCTATAAATAGGTTCAGTGGTTTTAGAATATGAGCCAGAGAAGCCAAAGATGGATATATAGAAGGTCAGTATTTTAGGGCAGGATAAAGAATGACATAAGTAAGAAAACTCCTTGGCTAACACTTTTTATTGTACTTGAAAAAAATATATTGTCTTGGGGTTTTAAAATGTAAAATTTATGGTCCCTGTGTCTTCTCTACCTTGGCTTCTTTCTGTCCCAAGTCCCCTATTTTCTTCAGGTTAATTGGGTATGTAGGTTGAGGGAGGCGGGCACTGCAGCAAGCAGATGAATGTGTAGACCTCTGATTTTGAACTGATTGGTGGCTTGGGGAAACTTGATCATTGGAGTGACATGAGAGCCAGTAAAATCATGAGGATGGAACATTGGGAATGCACATGTGTATTCTTTCTGGTTGTACAAATTCACTCTTTTTTATCTTCACGTTTCTTTCTGTACAGCGGATGAGAACATCCCAGCGAAGATCCTATCTTATAATCGTGCCAACCGAGCTGTTGCAATTCTTTGTAACCATCAGAGGGCACCACCAAAAACTTTTGAGAAGTCCATGATGAACTTGCAATCTAAGGTATTTTGGATCTGGATGGTAGGATAGCAAAATGAAAACTGTGTCTGCCATGAGTTGATATTCTGAAAATGAAAGGCATTTTTAATTCAGCCTTCCAGGCTGAGATATCAGAAGGCAGTTCTGGGTCGTTCTGGAAGAAAGGTCCACACTAGAGCTAACCAAATGGAACTCTAAGAGTAGTTGTCTCTGAGGAAGACACCGAGTGCCCGGTCCCGGCTGTTCAGGAGGTGTTCATTCTGTGCGTACAAGTTCTGCACTGGCCACTTCCCATTTTGAAAAGCTCAGGTTGATGTACCCTCTTTGAAATATTGCTAATTGTTGTCTTTATTATACACGAGGATAATAAAGTCTTCACAATTCCTTGCCACGGCCCAGAAATACAAATTATTTCCAAATTAGATTGCATCAAATTTAAAAGATGAAACAATGATAGTTAATTTCCCCCCTAGCACAACTATTTTTATTTTTGCACATTCCACAGGAATCCTATTTTATGTAGCTCTTCTTCAAGCATCTTTTGAATGCTAAGGAGAAACTGACATGCAAAATAAGATACTATTCCTCTCCCATGTGCCTTTCTCCTTCCTCGGACTCTGCCTGGTACTGAGTTTTTAAGCCACAAGACACACTGCATATTTGACGATGAGCATTTTTGTGTAAGCAGTGGCTACAGATCTGATCCATTCTCATGTACTAACCCACAGTGAGAATTTTCATTACTGACAGACAGGGTTATAAAGGAAACCAACTATCATAAAATATACTTACCAAATACATTGTAAAGTCTGATATAGTAATAAATGTGCTTCCTTATTAAAATCGTAAGGTGGTTCTAATAACCTGTAAATTCAAGGTAGTAATGTATATAAATGATACTTGAAGAGATCTGCATAATTATTGATATGAAAATACCTGTACTATCTATTGCTGATAAAAAATCAGAGGTACTACTTGTATCACATCACTAGTTTCTTGCCCACATAATTGGAGGAGAAATGATGAATTTCAATTAGAGGTTGTTGAAATTACAGATGTGATATTTTTCCATCCATGCTCACAGAATTCTGTACTTGGACAACTGGAGTTTAAAAACTGCTGTAGAGTGAGACCACATACATATTTTCAGGCCCATCATGAAATTTTGTTCTGTTGAAATATCTTCAAGATAAATACCCATGAATAGTACATCTGGGTCCAAAGATATGCACAACTATGGTGCTATCTAGCTTCCCTGAAGAGATGCATATATCCACAGTAAATGAATGTATCCACAGAGCTCTCAAATCCTTGGACCATATGGTTGGCAGGCAAAGAACCCTACAGACCATCCTTCCTAGCAGCTCCCGTTTCTTGCCACTCTAGTAAATAGCTGTTACCTGGTCTCATTTACTCTCCTCATGTTCTGAGCCAGAAATAAAAGCATAAATATTCAGGTGTTGTTTATCTAATTCAGGAGACCCCTCTCTGGAGGATGAGGAGGTCTTTTGTTGACCTCACTCTGGAACCACTGCTTGGGCAGCCCAGGCTGCCTGCCAGACGAGCCCTCCAAGCCCAGGAACCCTCTCCTGTGTGCCCACAAAGCAAACACACGCCCCTTTGCCAAGTGAATCAATGGAGTCTTTGATGCTTTGAGAGAATTTGACTTAGTCTGCCAACTTAGCATTCACAGAAATGGTTAAAAGATTGTAGTGTGTTGCATTTTTAGCCTAAGAAGAATCTGGCTAATGGTGTCTGTGATGCTTTTGTGTATAGAATCAGTTCCGTCAGTTTGCCTTGGGACAACATAAATGTTGGAAGTAAGCCATTCATAGTGAAACGCATTTAATGATTGTCTCACAATAGTAGCCTCTGTTTCCAGTCTGGGGCTGTGTGTGCATCTAATAGGCAATTCTAGGCTGAGAGCAACAGCCCAGTGTGTTTGAATCAGGCATGCATTTACTCTGCAGAGGTCCCCTTGACCTCCCAGGTAAGCAAGGTGAGCAAGTCTGAGGTGCCTGCACTCAGCAATGAGAGTTTACAGGTTTGGGGTCTAGTTCCATGGTGTTGCCAAAGGCAGGGCATGCCATGTATCAGTTTGGAATGAACTAGCTGACCTTTGAGTTGCCATTTTTAGTACCTTGGATATTCTCTTCACACACCCTTTTTTCTCTAGAAGCTGACAGCTCCCCAGAGAGCTGGCAGAACCTAAGAAATGAAGTGGGTTCAGTCAATGCAAGGATCCTGTCTCAGCTGCAGCATTCTTGGAATGAAGGCTATGGCCTGGCTCAGGTTCTATTGGCTAAATAGCTTGTCTGTAGCCCTCTTGTCAGATGTCTGTGACCACATTCATCTCTAAAAGATTAGCACCCACATTCCTAGTCCCAGCGGGTTCTCTTCCCGAACATCGGGACTTAGTGGAGCCCTGGATCTCTGCTTATAGGATTCTCATTTCTTGGAGACATCTAGGTTTCATTTTCTGTGATAGTTCTTTTCTTCTCTCTGGGAATCTTGTATTTTTAAAACTGATTATTCTTCCCCCACCCAGATTGATGCCAAGAAGGAACAGCTAGCAGATGCCCGAAGAGACCTGAAAAGTGCTAAAGCTGATGCCAAGGTCATGAAGGATACAAAGACCAAGAAGTATGTGCCTGGTGGTGTGCAAAACTGGGGGTTGGTTGAGAGAAAAAAGCAGGTGTAATATCGACCAGGTTTCTGGGCTCTAGCTTTTCTAGGGTTTCAGAATGATGCCTTTTGGAAATCTCTGTACTTGGGACTTTTCTGCTTTTACTGCCCCCTAAGTGGCAGGGTGGGGTTGCAGTGTTCTTGCCAGAGGCCAGACCTGGTTCTTGATGACATCCATTCTCCCAGGGTGGTAGAGTCAAAGAAGAAGGCTGTGCAGAGATTGGAGGAACAGTTGATGAAGCTTGAAGTTCAGGCCACAGACCGAGAGGAGAATAAACAGATTGCTTTGGGAACCTCCAAACTCAATTATCTGGACCCAAGGATCTCAGTGGCTTGGTAAGCATTGAGCACTTTACTACTGGCTTGAGAAGGGTGGCGGGATTATGAGAGAACCGTGCACTTCCAGTGCTCTGGGAAACCTCTGCCAACCTGTGCATGCTGTGAAAGCATTAGAACATTTTGGATGGACTTCAGTGGTCAGTGCTGTTACACTGCCTTTGAGTGTGTTTACATATGTTTTTAAAAGGCAGGTGCAGTCCCCATCCTAGATAAGAATAGAAACTCCTCGCCGAAACCAGTTTGGCTCAGTGGATAGAGCATCAGCCTGCGGACTGAGAGGTCCCAGGTTCGATTCCAATCAAAGGCATGTACCTTGGTTGCAGGCACATCCCCAGAAGGGGGTGTGCAAGAGGCAGCTAATCGATGATTCTCTCTCATCGATGTTTCTAACTATCCCTCTCCCTCTCTATAAAAAAATCAATAAAATATATTTTTAAAAAATAGAATAGAAACTCACCTGTATTGAAGGAAAAATATAAAGGGCCCCTCACTTCAACAAAATCCCATATATATAAAAGGCTAAATATACAAAGTATCCTCTTGGGAGTTTGATTGCTTGCTATGTCATGTGCTGACCACCAGGGGGAAGGACCCTACCTGTGCCCAAATTTCATGTACGGGGCCTCTAGTGTTTTAATAAAATAATTTACAAGTGAAGAAGGAAAGGTAGGAACAAGGAGAAAAAATAAAAATGAGAACACAGATCTAAGCAACCTATACAAAGAGTTACAGGGACCTTTTAACAAAGGCAGATAAATTTTCTATGGTTTGCTCATTTCATCCCCTACAACGCGCGCGCGCACACACACACACACACACACACACACACCCGCAAATAAGTAGCTTTTATGAAGATGCTTGTTAGTTGAGCTGCTGAATTCTTGGCCTAGGTAGAAGAATCATCCTTATGGCACCTACTCTCCTAAGCCTTTTTCTACCCTGTTTCTGCCCTGTTTGATGCCAGGGGATTGGTTAGTTTGCAAGGCACTATGGACTTAAGCCAGATGCTTGGGTTGTTTTCAGCTCTATGCTCACTAGCTGGATGAGAACATAATTGTTCTGCCTTAATCTTTTTATCTGTATCTTTCCCATTTGTGCATTTGTAGTAGCACCTACTTCAGAGGTCACTATCAAAGTTAAAGTGAGTTGAACACCACCTGAATTCTCGTTCTCACCAGATGCATGTGAAGGAGAAGGCAGCATATCCAAGCCTTGGCCTCAGGTTTGGGCTATTGCCCCTAGAGACACTAAACCCCCCTTTTTCTCCCTTGTTTGCAGGTGCAAGAAGTGGGGGGTCCCAATTGAGAAAATTTACAACAAAACCCAGCGGGAGAAGTTTGCCTGGGCTATTGACATGGCTGACGAGGACTATGAGTTCTAGCCAGTCTCGAGAGCAATTCTGTGAAAAGGAACAGTGTGGTTTGGAGAAGATGGATAAACTGTGAGCCTCGCTTGCCCTCACACCTGAGGGGGAGAGGCAGCAAGTCTTAACAAACCAACATCTTTGAGAAAAGATAAACCCGAAGATATTATAAGGGAGAGCTGAGCCAGTTGTCCTATGGACAACTTATTTAAAAATATTTCAGATATCAAAATTCTAGCTGTATGATTTGTTTTGAATTTTGTTTTTATTTTCAAGAGGGCAAGTGGATGGGAATTTGTCAGAGTTCTGCCAGACAAATTCGCTGTTTCACTGACACATTTGGATTCTCTTAGCTACTGTATACAAAATCCGATTATATTGGTGCGTTTTTACAGTTAGGGTTTTGCAATAACTTCTATATTTTAATAGAAATGAATTCCTAAACTCCCTCCCCTCTCCCCCATTTCAGGAATTTAAAATTAAGTAGAACAAAAACCCGGCGCACCTGTTAAGAGTTGTCAATATCTATTGTCATGGGAATCAATTTTCATTAAAACTTGAAGCAGTTGTGACATCGGCAGTGTTTTGGTTCAGACACCTGTTCACAGAAAAGCATGATGGGAAAATATTTCCTGACTTGAGTGTTCCTTTTTAAATGTGAATTTTTATTTCTTTTTAATTATTTTAAAATATTTAAACCTTTTTTTCTTGATCTTAAAGATCGTGTAGATTGGGCTTGGGGAGGGCTGAGGGGTGAGTGAGTCTAAGGATAATGAAATGATCAGTGACTGAAACCATTTTCCCATCATCCTTTGTTCTGAGCATTTTCTGTACCCTTTCAAAGATACCATCTTTTTCATTTTAAACCCGTCTTTCACCTGAAAGATTTTATTGTATAAAAAGTGTCACAGGTCAATAAATCTAGAGGAAAATGAGTATTTGGTCCAAAAAAAAAAAAAAAAAAGAATCAAGATTTTAGGGCTTTTATTTTTTTCTTTTGTAATTGTGTAAAAAAAAAAAAAAAAAGGAAAAAAAGAACACATAAAAAGCAAAATTTTAATGTGAAAACATTTTTTGCTATAATCATTAGTTTTAGAGGCATTGTTAGTTTAGTGTGCGTGTAGAGTCCATTTCCCACATCTCTCCAAGTATCTTCTATTTTTATCATGAATTCCCTTTTAATCAACTGTAGGTTATTTAAAATAAATTCCTACAACCTAACGAAAACTTAAGTCTCTGCCTCTTTGTTACCTAGGGCTCCAGGCCAGAATGGGGCTCTGGGGTTGGGACTTACTTGGTATTGGAAGTGGTCTGGTCTGGCTGCTCGGGTCAGCAAGAGTGGGTGTAAGGAAAGGAGAGCCAAAGTCACACCTTTAGACTGAAGGCAGGCCCAGGAAGTAAGGGAGAGTGCAGAAAGTCTACAGGAATAGATGGGGTGTAGGGATTGGATTAGAAGGTTAGAGCAAGTGTTTTGGGGAGTACTTTCCATGTGCTGGCCAGAAACAGTAGGGAGCTTCTTTGGGTTTCTTTGTGTGGCTAGATTTAACTGGAGAGCAGGAATTGAGGGTACTAAGCCAGTTAGGACACTGGATCCCAGAAGCCCTCTCTCTGGTGGAATGCAGACTTCTCCCTGCATTGATTGATTCAAAGAGTGATCTGTGACCATTTCCCAGTGCTCTGGTACCAGGCTGACCAGGGACCCTACAAAAATTAATCCTTTCCTCATCCTAGGTTACAGAGAAGGATGAGCTCTCTGGATCCAATGGAACAGGAAGGCCAGAGTGGTCAGAATTGGTCCCTTAGCTGTAGGCCCACCTGCTAGCATGTGCAAGTATGTTCTGGAGCAGAGCCATCTCCTTGATAGTCTTATAACTCCCAGATGCTGGGCCCATTGCAGATAATCGGGGGGAGGGGAGCAGGCTCCTTTTTTGGCAGCCTGTATTTCATTGGCCAGTAAAGGGGGTAGCATTCACCCCAGGGAATAAAGGAAGTTAAGTAGCCACCATGGCTTTGGAGCAAGAGATTGCAGCCAGGTATTTTTTTAATTTGGTGGTGTAGCTAGATCACTGAATATAAAGAATAGCAACAGAGGATCTTTCAGTGTCCAACTGATAAGTTTTATGACTGGTGAGTGGGTGATGAGAAAGTGGACCTCAAGTTTGGTATTTGAGCAGGACCTGCCTCAACTACGAAACAAACTTTGGTCCACAACCAGAAATCAAGGACGGGGGGCCTTGCAGGCAGAAGATTTTATTAGTGAGTAGGAACTTGTGCCTACCTTTTCCAGTCTTCAGAAGGCAGGTGCAGGGCAACTAGATGCTGGTTAAGAACAACCGTGAAGAGCATCCTGAATGGTGGCAACAGGCTGGCTTCAAAAGGGAAGCCAGAGAATGGGAAGCTGACCGGCTACTGAGCATGAGGGAAGAAGCTGAACAGGGAGGGGAAGGCCAGATGTGAAGGGCCCTGAAGGATGCTTGAGCGTGGAGTCAGGAGACTGCCTCCCTAGCCTGTTCACCCACTGGTTGGTTCCCTCCTCCAGCTATGTGTTTTTTTAACCACTCCCTCCTGTCAGGCCTTTCTGTGATGCTTGAGTCCAGCTGTGGGCAAAGGGAGACTGCCTTTATGTGCTACCTGAGCCAGGCAGCTTGGTGCTTCCTTACCTACTCTCCCCCACACCTCTCACACCTGGTCAGCAGGTCCTGTCCATTCTCCCTGCCAAACCTACCTGAGGCCTCTTATACATTTAAAACATGAAAAAATAAACCACAGCTCCCAGCCCTTTCCAGCCACCACCCCCTCCCTCTCCATTTCACAAACAAGCACCTGGAATGAGTCATGGACACAACCCTGTCATTCCCCACCCACTGCAACTGGCTTCTCCATCTTGCCCCCAATTCCCTTCTCCATCTGGCCACACTCACCAATGAAGGAGGGACCAAACCAGTAAATGGGCAGCTGACTACTATTTTTTAAACTGCAAATGTACCATAATTTTTGGTAACTACTGAGTGGTGCAGACATCACTATAAATCAGTTTTTGAATATCATCCGCCCAGTAAGAGCTCTCTCCCCCTCCCCCTTACCTCCAACCTTCACTAGTCTTCCTTTGTAAATTATCTTTACGGGACACCTCACATAATGTGAAATTATAAAGTATGTGACTACCCCCTTAAAGCACTTCTCTCTGGCTGCCACAATGCCACCTTCTGGTTTGGCTCCTACCTCTATCAGGCTGTTGCTTCTCAGTTACTCTTCACACGGCCTGGTTTCATTCACACCTAGATCCCTTTTCTGAGCTCCAGACACATTGCCAACTACATATCTGCGGGGGACACAGGCTACTCAACCTCAAGTCTCTAGAATTGAGCTCGGGACCTACTACAAGCCGGATGGTGAAACCCATCCACTCTGTCCCTCACCCGGAACCCTGGAGAGCCATCACCCTTTCTCACACGTCCAATAAATTAATGACTCAGAAATCACCTCCTACTACCTACTACTATGAATAGAGGTATTTCCTCACAGAAAACTTAACCTTTTTTTCTACATTTTGGTCCTTACAAAATCCCTCATAATGGGATGCTCTCTAAACTTGTTGTGAAACAAAAAGCACTTTTTTTGGAGAAAACACATTACCCTAAGATGACCTCAGCCAAGCTACTTTTGGATGATTATAAGTAGTCCCATGACGGAATCAGTAAACAAGGAGGCAAAGAAATTGACCACACACTGAGTAATTATTTCTCACAGTCCTAAGTATTACATGTAAACAAACCTCTCAACGGTCATCTTAAATAGTAATATGGTGTTGGGTTTGTTTTTTTTAGGTTTGATAATGGTACTATAGTTCTAAATATAGTTTTTTTAAAAAATCAGAAAAACAACAACTGAAATATTTATGGATAACCCTATAGAGTTAAGATTTGTGTCAAAACATTATAGACGGGGTCTGTGGGTAGTCTGACCCACTGAATACTAATATATAGCTATGGGAGAATGGAAAAGAAACCTGTTTTTAATGTTATACAAAAAGGCAGTCAGGCTTACTTAAAATTCCCAGTGATAGCATCACATAATGATTCAAAAAGTATTCTCTCTACAGCAATGTGGACAAATCTCAAAAACTTAATGCTGGACTTGGACACAATGGTGCATATGCTAATGATTTCAGGTATATGAAATCCTACAATGGATAAAACTAATCTGTAGTAACAAAGTAGATTAGTTGATGGCCAAATGGGGGGCAGAAAAAATGTCCTACATCTTGACTGGGTGGTATGCATTTGCCCTAACTGGTTTGGCTCAGTGGATAGAGCATCGGCCTGCGGACTCAAGGGTCCCAGGTTCGATTCCAGTCAAGGACATGTGCCCTGGTTGTGGGCACATCCCCAGTGGGGAGTGTGCAGGAGGCAGGTGATTGATGTTTCTCTCATCCATGTTTCTAACTTTCCCTTCTTCTCTGTAAAAACTCAATAAAATATATTTTAAAAAAATAAAATGGATGCATTATATTATAGGTAAATTATTTCTCAGTAAAGTTGACTTTTCAAAAGAGCGCTCTCTCAACTTAGAAGGCAGCAAAGTGATGTTCTTTCAGAAATTATATTAGATGACTCAAAAAGTGGCTCTACTGATTTCTACAAAGAAATGAAAGATTCATGTAAAGAGTTCAAACATTATTACTACAAAAGTACGAAAGAAAATAACATTCACAAATATATTGTTTCAAATAATATGTGACTTAAGATATGTATGTGTAACTAAATAAACTTATATTTGGTCATTTGAATCACAGAACACCTGAAGTGACATTTTTGGGAAAACGAGTTATCACCTTATATTTGGACCTGCCATATATTCAGGCATATACTCTTGTCTCATTTTGCTCCAACCTCACAGCCATCAAAGGGCTGGGTCAGGTAAGGTCTGTGTCCCTTCTCAAGGTCCCAGCAGTCATTATCACAATGAATTGTCCTGTTTGGCATTTCTGTGACCCCTACTGGAGTGGGAACTTGGTC